GGTGTGCAGTTTTCTACTTTCGTTTTCGATGTTTTTCGGGGCTATATCCGATGGACGCTGTACAACAGTGATAAAATATCTCATGACATGTTTGTTCATTTTAAATTACACCTTTAATGCAGCAAACATAAAAAGTCTTCACAAAAAGTAGTATGCAATCGTACCTATATTACATACGAATGTATGTAATATTTTTCTTGTATATGCATGACTCAGGGCACCATGTAAAAATAAGTGACTGCAATGACACAAATAATAATATGATGAACATATTGAATTTTGTGCTGTGAATGCATCCTTGTTGATTCACAATTAAAGGACTGCTTTAACCCTCCATTATAGGACTTTTACAATCCTTTAAAGCAGCACGCCTCCACATTCATGCTAATTTTCATGAAAAATTTGAAATGTATTATAAAGTAGAACATTGTAAAGTGAAAAAAGAAAATAATTTTCACATTGTAAATAGTACTTACAACCCATGTTAATTTTGCTGCTGTGGAAGATTTGTTTAATTCGATAATATGTTGGGATATTTTGTGCATAAAAGACACACTGAATGGTTATAAATTACAATTATTTAACAAAATAGAATTTAATATATATATTGAATATAGTATCATAATGAAAGTCTGTTTTACACTTCATTTTTTTAATGTTTTAAATGATAATATGCCGGAGAAATGGACTTTTTTCTTGGCGCATTAGGTGTACTTTTCTAAAAGGGAACAATTTATTTTATGTCATCAAACCGAATTTAAAATAAATGATATACTCATGTGTAATAAATACACATATATATATATATATATTAAAATTAATATCAAAATAAAAGTTTCTAATAAAATTCAATAAGCACATTTTCGGTTAATGTTTTGGTACGTTTATGGAAACATTTCCTCTACAAAACGGGCATAAAGTTTGTTAATCACACAATTTTAAGTCCCAGATTTACATACAAACTGTTTATATCATTTAATTGGAATAAACAGTATATAAAGCTGTATGCCTCCAACCACAATATTTGAGAAAAATCTTGAGTTAGATTTGTGCCATTTGCGTCATACCGGTTGGAGCAGCAAAATTTCGGTACACGGTTCACTCGGTCATATAATAGTGCATGGTGATATTGTACCTGTAATGTTCACTGTTACTATTTATCGGAACATGAAATAGTAAAACGCTATTCAGAAAACAATATGGTAATCGATTTATACAATTTAAAAGATTAAAACGGAATGAAACATCAACGTAGCGCTAAGTATCGTAAATGATATTTTCCGATTTTTTCACCTCGATGTTAGTTTTCCGTTTAAGTTAAGTCGTATTTTGAAACGGGGCATGCGCAAAACAATTTTTGTAGACTGCTCCTAATGATTTTAGGCTTTAAATGAGATTCGTTGACTACTATCAGATAATTAAAAATGGATGCCGCCAGCAATCAGTCTGAACACTGAGGAGAGGTCTGATCACCCTCTAACTAGATATTTATGTGTTTCTCGTATTCAAGCATATTTTACTCATAATGGTGTGTATTCTGACAGTACAGTGTATTTCTATGTATTTTAAGTTATATTCTTTTCATCCGCAACATATAGTCTTGCTACTGTGATAAATTAATGATATTTAATAATTTCACTCTCCACTGAAAAGCATGTAATAAATGGAAATATTGTGAGAAATACACTTAGTTATAAATAATATGTGATAAACATGTATGATGAGAAGCACTTAAATATTTGCACATATGTCAAAAAATCAAACAAAATTAATGAAATACTACAGAATTATTTTTTGAATATAAACATAATGTGATAAATAATATATATAATAATACACAGTAAAAATGAAAGTGCCTTAAAACCATTAAAAACATGAAATAAATGTAGAATTTGTTTATTTTGCATGTAAGATCAAATAATAATTCATATAATTTATTTTTGAACACCAGCAGTATTATATGTTCACTTGTGGCTGTGTCAAAATATTTAATTGGGTGTTCATTTTATGAAATAGATTTCAATCTTATAATCTTCTAATATACTAAACCCCATTTTAAAATAACTGAAATATTTCATCTAAGGAAACATTTTATTCTTTTAACATAAGTACCGGTAACTTATGTATATATTTTCAATAAATGATAGACACTATTGAAACATAATAAAACTGACAATTATGCACCAGGAAAACACTTTTTGAATTTTACAAAGTTCGCCAATAAATGTTTACAATTTCTTAGAAACTGACATTTAAAAAGTGTATTTAAATACAAAACACAAAATTTAATGAAACTCTTTAGAACTTTAGAAGATTACATGTTAGGAGTAATTAATTGTCAAAATATTGTAGTATTACTTTATTGTCATAATGTAAAAGAATGTGCTGCTTTGGTAAAAACGTTCCTTATTTTAAGAAAAAAATCCTCAAAAACAAAATATTGTTTTACAATAAGTAATAAAGGTTGCTGAAGATACTAGATATATTAAATTCAGTGAAAGTTTTGGAAATTTTCAAAATTAAAAATTTCAAAAATTCAACATTTATAAGCACATAACTCTGATTAAATTGTATTTCTAGATTATCATTCTAGTACTATAAAGTATACTTTTGTAAAAACAATTATATACAGATTTGAAAACTTAAATCATGCTATCTGAACTGGAATAATAAGAATCTTTAAAAGTCCTGGTACTAGACGAGATACTGTAAGAGTTTCTACTCATATTTCTTCCTTTTTCTTACTCAACTTCCATAACAAATTATAAATTCCTTTTACAAATAGGACGCAATATAGTTTTACTCTAAAAAACGAAAATGTTGCGCATAAATTGCATGCAATTGCAAGAGTGGGCTCCAATCAGCTTCTTACTAACACTATGCATTAGGATCTGACGACCACCAATTGGTTGTCACCTTCTCATAACCTTTCAAACAGCCAATCATCGTCAAGCGTTCACTATTTTGAAAGCAATAATTATGGTTTCTAATCTTAATGGCTGGAAAACCATTACTGAGTAGGTCATTTTCACTATTTCGAGAACAAATGTGGTGTTGTCCAGATAGCTGGCAGGTAACTGGCAAAACAACAATGCCCATTAAACATTTAGTCCTTAATTTCCAGTTTATTTCACATCACTTCAACAATTTTTCTATCAAAAATCAACAATACTTATGTTTACTTTAACAGAAAATTATATTTTGATACTTCGTCTTATTCATATCTGTAAAGGACGGTTTGATTTCATTGCTAAAAATAGCTTTCCTGGGAAATCCAAATCACAATGAAGATTAAACAAATATGGGGGCAATCAGATCTATATGTAAGAAATAAGTAGATGTGAACTTTAGTCAGACTGGAAAGGACCTTTCTATAAAAACTGCATGCTTTCATAAACACTGATTGTCAGAATATATTAATGCCCATTTTGCATACTTTATCCGGGGATTTAATATTATAAAATGTTTTAATACTGTAGCAGGCATATTGTTGCATTTTTGCTTGTCCCTTTTTTTCTCCCATATGAGTATCTAAATAGAATTTTAAAAACATCATATCACATAATAAAATTATAATCTTATAAAACACTCAAATGTTCCACATACAGAAAATATGGGAACAAGGAGGACTGAAACCATACACCATATGGATGTGAATGCTTACTGTTTCATCACTGAGGCAATTTGTTACCTATCTGTTGTGATTGTCAAGAATATTTGAGACACACAAATAATTTGAAACAGTGTGTTTTGGTCAAGATATGGGTATTTTACAGTGGTCTCCTTAACCCAAGTAATTTTGAACAGTTTAATACACCTCAAAGCTTCCTAAATAAAGGTTAATAATTTGTGCATATTGGCAACACTTCAAATAAATAATTTTTATTTTATTTTGAATTGGATTTAATTCAGAGATGATTTTTACATGATTGTATTGACATAAACTTGCTTTATTCTAAATCTGTTGTTTTATTGAAATCTATTGAAAGCCAGTAATAAGGAGCACTTATCACTTTCTTCATCCAGTGAACCTGATTGGCCATAAACCATAAATCTTTAAATGTAAGCAACTTTAATATTCATCATAACTATAAACAAAGTAAATTTCCCGACTCAAATTGGACAATTTCTTCTAAAATTGTATAATACTGAGCTCTGATTTTTCATTTTTTTTATTCTTTGTACAGAGAATTTGAAATGTCATGTAGCCAGTAAAATAAATTAATCTTTACAAGTGTTTGAAATTGATTGTTACACTTGGTATAAATAAATGAGGAATCAAATTTTCTTAATCTTGAAAACAACGAAAAACAGGCAAAAAACACATCAGAATATGTTTTAAAACTGTAAAATTCTGTAAAATATGATCATAGAAAAAGTGTCATAAAATATTCTTGGAATTTATGACATCATGAAAGCTTGTGATGACATCATCAAACTTTGTTTATTTTCAGTTAGAATAGTTCAAATAGCAATAAGTCCTGTTAACAGCATCTTTATTTTGCTAGACTATTTTAACTTGAAGTTAGCATAGTCTTGCACAAAAGAAAATCAAGTTGTTAACTTAAAAGTGATTGCCAAACTATTCTAATTTGACTTAGAATAGTTTTGCACTGAATACGAGGGATGATCAAAAATAAACCGGACTGTGGCTGTAAGTTGAACAAATTTCAACCTATCACTTATTGTTATATATCACAATTAATCGGAAAGCAATACCTATAAACTGATATCATGTGATAACGCAAATAGCTTGTCGGTAACAGCGAATCTAAAAACCATGGTAACGCATACCCGGCGCAGTGCGTAAAGTTGCGCCGACGGCATGCGCTGTATGATACGTATATATTACAATATGGCATATTTAGATTTCAAAGTTCACTAAAACGTCATGCATCATGTCTATGACGTTGTCAGAAAAAAATGACGTTATTTGATCAACATTTGCCGTTACAGTCACAATTTTAATATCGCTTGTGGCAATAAGGTTTCTGTTCAAAATGGCGTCGTTAGAACGTCTTGAAATAAGAGCAATAATAAAATTTTGTCAAGAGGAAGGCGAAACACCATCTAAAACTTACAAAAGGATATTGGGTATCAAGGGAAAAGCCTCAGTAAGCCGCACACTAGTTTTCGACTGGCACAAATGATTCAGAGAGGGTATGACAGATATCGGACAAGGAAGGACGAGGAAGAAAGAAGAAAATTACAGAGACGTTGGTGACGTCAATCGCCGTGACGTTAGAAAAAGATAGGCGATTGACTGTGCGGGCTTTATCTGCAATGTTTGGCACAAGCTATGGGACGGTGCAGTCCATTTTAACTAAGGATTTAAAGATGAGAAAGGTTAGTACATTAGTATATTTTATTTTTCGAATGAAATTGTTAAAAACAAAATTGATTTTTTATTTCTGTCAATGTTTTTATGTTAGCATTTTGTTAACTGTTTACAAGCCACGTTCAAAATCGGGATTGCGTGATATTTTGTTCAATAATATAAGAATTTTGGCCTTAGGCGCATGTTAATATTCTTTTACTTTCCCGTATGTATGATACATTATTATTCAGCAAAACAAACTTATAAAACATATCATAACTTTTTGCAGGTACACGCACGCTGGGTCCCACGACTACTTCAAGACCACGAGAAGGCTCGCCGAGTACAAGATTCCCGGGAGTTTCTGCGCCGGGTAAATCGAGAGGGTGGTGATTTTTTAGGTCGCATAATTACAACAGACGAAACCTGGCTGTGGTTTTATGATCCGGAAACCAAGTCGCAGTCAGCTGTTTGGAAGAAGAGTACTTCACCACCACCAAAGAAGGCCCGCGTGTCAAAAGGCGGCGGGAAATACATGTTTATCATGTTTGCAGATATGCACGGAATGATCCTACAACACGCCGTCCCGAAGAATACCACTGTTAACGCCGAATATTTTTGCAAGGTTTGTTAATTTATCGTATTAAAACACGTTACATTACATCAATTATAAATGCAGGGTATTTTATCATGTTTTTAAATTTAAATTATAAATGTAAATAAGTATTGTCTAACAAAATGCGTATATCTTCCTTTTATACTATACTTTTATATTCCGAAGAAAAGAAATGTAAACTGATAAATAGAATATTTAAAATACATAAATTACATATAAATAACAATCGTATAAAATAAATCACAATTTACGGCGGCTGGTGTAAAATGTATTTTACTTAATGAATAAAAAATGAATGTATCATTTTGCAGGTGCTCAGATGTGATCTCGTGCATGCTCTTGAGAAGAAGCGACCCGGTGTGCCACTCGAACATTTCATCCTACATATGGATAACGCATCCTCCCATACAGCCGCAGTTACCGACCTAGAAGTAGCCGTGTTAGGTTTCGGTAGAGTTGCCCACCCACCTTACTAGCCAGATCTCTCTCCTTTCGACTTCGCAATTTTTCCTGTAATTAAATCACACTTGAAAGGACAGAAGTTCGCGTGGTTACACGAGCTCTCTACCGCCACCCAGACTATAACTAGGCAGTACGACACCACCTGGTACAAAGATATTTATAAACAATGGGTCCATCGGCATCAACGATGTGCGGAACACGCAGGGGCGTACTTTGAGAAGGAGTAAGAAGTTGCGTAAAAGATACTAAACTCATGACGTCGCTAACGTCAAACATTTTGTAATATCCGGTGCGCCGGATCACTGTTCATGTAAATGCTACAGATAGCATAACTTTGTTAAATGTTAATGTTTTATATTAATTATTTTTGTATCATATGGCGGATAGGTTCCGCCTTATGTTGTGATTTTCAATTATGAAATACATTAAAACGTTAATGAATCATATACAAAGTCCTCTTAATTTTTGATCATCCCTCGTATATTATATCACCAGATAGAATATTTTCTTAAAATGTGTAAAACTTAAACATTAGTGGGAAATTAATTATGTCTTTTTAACAGAACATGCATTGAAGGAATTTGTACAAGAAAATGTCAAAAAACATTTTCTGAAAAATATTGAGTTAAAATAGTCTTGCGCTTAGCCCTCGCAATGTGGCCTTGACCTTCGACCGCTTGACCCCAAAATCAATAGGGGCCATCTACTGGTCATGACCAATCACCATACCGAGTTTGAAGTTCCTAGGCCAAAGCTGTAATTTATTGATCGGAAACCGTTTTTACCTACAAGGTCAATGTGACCTTGACCTTTGACCCCTTGACCCAAAAATCAATAGGGGTCATCTACTTGTCATGACCAATCACCATACCGAGTTTGAAGTTCCTAGGCCTAAGCGTTCTTTAGTTATCTCTCAGAAACCTTTTGGTCTACGGACCGACGGACCGACAGGCCGACGGACTGACAAATGCAAAGCAATATACCCCCTCTTCTTTGAAGTGGGTGCATAATAAATAACCATATCAGTTTTCATTACTGTGTTCTTTTGTCAAATTCAATAAATTTAGATTTAAAATTAACCATTTTGGCTTAATGTAGCGAATTAACTACCTTGACCTTCAGTATCATGGTCAGATAAAGGTCAAAGTCAGTTACAAACACGAACCAGTTAAACCGGTTGATACTCCTGAGTAGGTTTTGGACACAGAAAAGTATACCTCTAGAACTGTCAGATTTATGTCCCTGGCAAAAGTTCAAAGTGTAACAAGAGCCATGTTAACATGGCCATCCCTCGCCGAATGTGTTTGCTCATTGGAAGAATATATATGTTGTAGAGCAGAATAATTCAATTTTAAGTGGTCTTTTGGTAATGAAACTGATGGTTGAAGTGATAACAGATTTGAAACCTATGTGAATACTGATGGCTGAAAATAACAAAGGGCAATAACTGCAAAATAATGCAGGGTAAGTTATCATTCTTGTGTGCTGCACTCCTCCTCAATGACATCTATCCACTTATGAAGTTTCAAGTTGTTATCTCAAAGGCTTTCCATTAATGCTCTGGACAAAAATTAAGCATGAAAAATAACAAAGGGCAATAACTGAAAAATTATGCAGGGTAGAGTAATCATTCTTGTGTGCTGACTCCTCCTCAATGAGATCTATCCACCTATGAAGTTTCAAGTTCATACCTCTAACACTTTTTGAGATAAGCTCCAGACAAAAAGTATGAAAGGGCAATAACTCAAAAATTATAATGGGAAGTGTTATCGTTCTTGTGCACAGTATTCCTCCTCAATAAGATCTATCCACCTATGAAGTTTCATATTGACATCTCAAAGACCCTGAGTTATGCTACACTCAGGTGAAAAATTAAGTATGAAAATAACAAAGGGCAATAACTAAAAAAATATGAAGGGTGGATTTATAATTATTTTGCACTGCACACTTCCTGACCTATGAAGTTTCATGTTGATATCTCATAAGCTTTTAGAGTTATGCTCTGGGCAAAAATTAAGTTTGAAAAATAACAAAGGGCAATAACTGAAAAATTATGCAGGGTAGAGTTATCATTCTTATGCACTGCACTCCTCCTCAATATGATCTATCCACCTACGCAGTTTCAAGTTTATATCTCAAATACTTTTTGAGATAAGCTCCTGACAAAAATGTCGGACGGGAGGACGGACGGGCGGAAGGACGGACGGAGACTATTTCTATATCCCCTCCGCCTTTCCGCGAGGTACAAAAATGAGAAAAGGGCAATAACTCCAAAATATGACAAGGCAGAGTTATGGCTTTTTATGCAATGCACTAATTGTATTCAATAAGATCTATCTACCTATAACGTTTCATGTTGATATCTCTTATAGTTTAAGTGTATTGTCCTGGACAAAGTTCAAGGTGTAAAAATTAACAAAGGTCAGTAACTTCAAAATTAGGCAAGGCAGAGTTAAGGTTCTGTTGCATTGCACTTCTTTACAAAGACCTCTATCTACCTACAAAGTTTCATGTTGTTATCTCTTAAAGTTTTAGAGTTATGTCCTGGACAACGTTCAAAGTGTAAATATGAACATAGGGCAATAATTCCAAAATAAGTTGGGCAGAGTTATGGTTCTTTGACACTGCACTTCCACTAAATGAGATCTATCTATCTACAAAGTTCCATGTTAATATCTCTTATAGTTTTAGAGTTATGTCCCGGACAAAGTTCAAAGTGTACAAATGCACAAAGGGCAATAATTCTAAAATTAGGCATTACATGGTTATGGTTCTTTAGCACTGCACTTTCACAAAATGAGATCTTTCTTCCTTGGTAAATAATAATAATAATAATAATAATAATCTTGGTAAAGGTCAACTACACAATGTTTCATGCCAAGTATCTAACCTCTTGCCGTTGTCAATTCAGGGGAGAAGTTTTTTAAGTTTTTTACTATATACATGCAAGCAAAACCTATGACCCCAGGGGCGGAGCCTATTTTGACCACAGTACTCTAATTTGAACAACTTTGGTAGATAAGTACCTAAAGGTGATATCATATACGAAATATCTAGGCTCTAAGCCATGTACCTTCAGATGAAAAGGTTTTTAATTTTTTACTACCGGTATATACATATAAGGAAAACCTATGTCCCCGGGGCGTGGCCAATTTTGATCCCAAGGCTATGATTTGAACAGTCTCGGTAGAGGTCTACTACACAATGTTTCATGCGAAATATATAATCTCTAACCATTGTCAATCCAGGGGAGAAGATTTATTAAGTTTTAACCATACATGTATATAATCATACATATAAGGAAAAGCAATGACCCCCTAGGCGGGGCTTACTTTGACACCATGGGCACAATTTTAACAACTTTCAAATAGAAGACCTATTGATGATATTATATATCAAACATCTATGCTCTAAGCCTTGTACCTTCAGATGAGAATATTTTTTCTCAGTTTTTACTATATTATACATAGAAACAAGCCTATGACCACAGGGGAGAGGTAATTTAATTCCAAGGCTATAATTTTAAAAAATCTTTGTTGGGATATACAACACAATGCTTCATGCCAAATATCTAACCTCTAGCCTTCGTCAACTCAGAGGAGAGGACTTTTTTAAGTTTTTACTCTATAAACATACATGTTTAAGAAACCATGACCCCGGACAGGGCCTATTTTGACACTAGGGGAAACATTTTAATACCAAGAATATCTAATACATGTTATGGATTGTTTATGTAAAGGTCATGATTTTCAGAGATATTTATGAAATGATTCAGGTCATGAACTCTAGCAAGACAGTTGTGAGCTTTGTAGGGATATTAAATGGAACAAAAATGAACACATAACAAGGACCTTATGATTTACGCCATGTTTATAATATAATGATTATTTTTTTCTGGACATTGGTAATGCTTAATTGAAAAAAATGTTTTTTTAAGAAAAAGTTACTGTACCTGCTTTTCAAAGTTTAATACAGCTATGTTATACAGTTAATACCTATTATTTTATCAATATTTTTTTTATATCAATATTGCACTATGTACATCAACACATGTGTCTAATGATTTGACATGCTGAAATATGACCTTGACCCCATTATTCACTAAAGACTATTGCATTATGGCAAAGTTGAATTGAGCCCCGTCATTACAAAACTAACATGATGCATTTGCAACCAGCCTGGATCCATCCAGCCTGCGCATCCGCGCAGTCTGATCAGTATCCATGATGTTCGCTAGAGAAACTGATAGCGAACAGCATGGGTCCTTATCAGACTGCCCGGGTGCGAAGGCTGATCTGGATCCATGCTGGTCGCAAACCCATTATTTAAATATCTAAGCTCTAAGCCTTGTAACTAAGTCAGACAAGAGGATTTTTAAGTTTTTACTATATGCCTAGAAGAAGAACTAATTTTGACCCCAGGGCTATAATTTGAATAATTTTGGTAGAGGTCCACTATACAATTCTTCATGGACAATTTCTTATCTCTGACCTTTATCAATTCAGGGGAGAAAATCTTTTAAAGTTTTACTATATACATGTACCGAAAACCTATGACCCCAGGGGAGGAGCCTATTTTGAACTTAGGTCTATAATCTGAACAACTTTGGTAGATTTAAGTACCTATAGGTAATACCATGTACATGTACCAAATAGCTAAGCCCTAAGCCATGTACCTTTAGATGAAAAGCTTTTTAAGCTTTTCCTATATAAATATAAAGAAAACCTATAACCCCAGGGCGGGGCCAATTTTGATCCTAGGGCTATAATTTGAATAATCTTGGTAGACTTTTACTATAAAATGCTTTATGCCAAATATCAAACCTCTAGCCTTTGTCAATTCAGTGAAAAAGATTTTTGAGTTTTTACTATATATATGTAAGGAAAACTTATTATATATGTATATAAGGAAAACCTATGAACACCCAGGGTGGGGCAATTTTTTTAAACTAGGAACCTAATTATAATAACTTTGGTAGAGGACCTAAAGATGATATCACACATAAAATATCAAA